TAGTTAATCTGAAAAATATGAGTTCAAAATTATCGCTATCCAGCTTCGATAGGTATTTTATGTTGAAGCCTTTTCTCGCATACATAGGGTGCAACATCTTCTGTGATTCTGTGTTCTCATCTTTCCTAAAAGGATCATAATAATTGGTAATTCTATTCTCTGATCATCTACTGTCGTACTTACGATTCTACTTTAGCAATGATGACAGAATTTGGAAACAGAGGTGTACGCTCGCAGTGTCATATTTGGTAAATTCGTTAGGCGTAGATGTTTTGTAGATGTTCATATTCTTGCTAAGCGAAATCCTTGTTAAAAAAGAAAATAGTTCAGCTCGTGTCACGAGCTGCATTAAACCATTTTTCTTTCCATATGAACTCTCAAGCTATAATCAAATGCAAAAATGGTAAGTTAGAAAACAGCTCATTTTGATAAAGCGCATATGTCGTTTTCTAAAAGAGAAACGGCAGTTGCTATGTATATATTGTTTATGGCAAGAAGAAATTCAGAAAACACGATTGCCAGGCTTAAATAATAAATTTATTACAAAGAGATGTAAAACCGGTTACTTGCTGCTCTTACAAAAAAAACAATATACGTGTCAACATAAGAAAAAAAACGCTTTCATACGTTAGTGTACATATTTTTACGGTGTGAGAGAAACTGAGAGAAAAACACGAGAAAGAAAATATGTGCCTTGGCCGTTGGACCCAGTGACGTCGGTTTTCTAGCGGCCTCGAAAATGCATATTTTCTTCTCGTGTTTGTCTCTCAGTTTCTCTCATGCCGCAAAAAATATGTACACTAATTGACATATTAAATCCTGTGCCCGTTTCCACTTTTCGTGCAATTTTGCTGAATGAAGATCTGATAGATGTGAAACATCTACGTAATCAATTTACTAAATATTACACTGCGAGCATACGCCTCTGCTTCGAATACTGTTATCATTGCGATAGTAGAAACGATCAAGTACAGTGATCAAGTACGACAATAGATGATTAATATACAAACTTGGGGTTGAAACAAATTTAACCTGAGGTATCCTTTATTTTCAATTAAAACTTTTAACTTTTCAATTTTTCTCGCATCGATGAATATTTTACATAACAGTGTTGATTTAAACTTTATTTATTCAAGGAAAGAAAATACCAGCGCGTATCGAAGTACACAATATAAATGTTATTCAAACAACAGCTAATTGTATATGTTATAATGTACGAAAATGTTACGATAAAACATAGCATTAAGACGGACAACTGTTGCATTCTTCTCCTTTTCGTTTTAAATCCGGTTTGGGGCTTTCTCATGCAGCATGTCTAGTATTTTAATGTGGTTATTAAACAAGTATCTGCAGAAAAAGCAGACCTAAACTCAGCTCGGGTGTAATTTCAACCATAAGTTTTTAGTATGGTGAAAAAATGCACGACAGTATTTAAAATTCCTTGTCGTACATACTTTTATTATATACTTTGGTCGAATCCAATATCTATTTTGTTCTGGCTTCAAGCTAGAGAGTTAGCGATAGGATGATGAATTCTCCTTGCTCATCAAAACGTAACTAATAGAAAGATAAAATGATCTTTTGTAAATAGATGAATTTAGTATCAACTACTTTTTGACAACTTTTGTCATCTGTAGTAAACTATAATTTTAACGTTTTCAATATCTGAAATAGATGAATGAATGACTTTGTCGAGATGTAATCATTATTCTAACATTCAAATTTAATCACTGGACACTCTTAAATATTTTAGTAGTTTTCAAAATTCTAGCAGGTACTCTATTGTAAAAAATAAACAATGAAAACTGATCGATGAATTATACAATAAATGACACGTCAACATATTTTAAGAAGAAAACCTTTTTTGTCAAACGCATTTTCTTTCTGTCGTTGTATACGTCCATAACTAAACTTTCTTTTATAGTCCTTTTTCTCAAGTTTGATTCCGCAGTTAACATAGTTGAGTTCAACAAAGGAGAAAAAGAAACCCACGACGAGGATGAGATTCGAACACACGCTCCCAGAGCAAAATGGATTAGCAGTCCATCGCCTTAGCCGTTCGGCGACCTCGTCTGATGAACAATGATCTCCTGCTTCTATCCTAAGAGTCAATATTACTATTTTATACTCAATAGAGCTTATATATACAAAGCTTATACTATCTAAACCGAATGAAAGACATCGTTGAATAAGTCCGAAACGTCGTAAGAGTCGATCTTTTTCGAATTTAACGATAAAATCTTTCCTGCTAACCGTTTCAAGACACGGGATAAAAGCGAGTATATCTGAAAACGAATATAGTCACAAGATTCAGCGTGATCGATAACCGAAGTTTCTATCCGTTTTTGCGATTGTTATTCACAAACAACGCAAACGCGAACAAACGTCGAGACACAAAAAACGTTTTGTCAAGAGAACTACATCGCTTAATACCAACATCAGATCTTGCAACATTAACATCAGGAAGAACATCTCGATGAACAGTCTAAAAACGTCTCTCACCCTCTCTCGTACTAATTTTGTAAATAGTAATCATTTTTTAAAATAATAAATAATAAAAATAGTTTTTTTTGAATAATAAATAATAATAAAAATTTCTTTGGAATGAATAATAATAATGATTTTTTCAATAATTTGTAAACAATCTGATTTATTATGTAGTTATTAGACAAATGTAATCTCGTACTTCTGTTTTTTTTTCTTTTGTTTTGTACACTGTTTTAAAACTTCTGTTGGCTATTCATTTGTCGTTTTTCTGTTCGAATAAAATTTGTGTTTATTACAAAAGTTTGATTTCTACAATTAATAAAATCAGTGAGAGTCGACCTTGATACCGTTCAATTAGAAGACGAAAGAATGACAGCAAAAAGGAAACACGATCTCAGCATTTTTAGCGGGCTCCCGCTACAAAACTGGTATCCTGCGATATCTCGATGGTTCTCGACTGGGATTCCGCATAAGATCCCGGACGGGATTTTGCGAGATCCCATTCGGAAATTGCCGGGAATGAAGACATGGGAATTGTTTAGCGAACCGCGGCGCGTAAGAAACAAAAATGCCGTGAATGTTACGATCGCGAATCAGAAACATTCGAAAAACAATAGCTGGTCGCGATCACACCGCAACGTCTTAGCGATCGCTTCTTCCTAGCGATTTTTGTCGTCTGATATTCATCACGCACAATACAACATCACAATTTTACATACCATTAGTGTTACATTGTCGAGGACTTAACTTATGAGCTATAAAAGATAAGCTACGACCTAATGTGTTCAATTGATCACGTTACATTTCTTCCGAAGTATGAGATTTATTTAGAGCAAACATTTAAATGAATTTTGAGGAAAACTGGAGGTCCTAAAGCTGTTGTGTTGCACAGATATTCAATTTTTACGAAAAGCCCCAAAGAATTAACATTCCACCATCTTGTAAAACTATTAACTTAAACTAGGTGTAACTTCGTAACGACATATGACTTTGACTAATCAGCTTTACCATAAATTCTAGATAGTGTCTACCACAAATTCAGACAATCGCGAGCTCCAAAAATGTTTTTGTTCATTTTCAGTAGATCATGCTGTGAGAGCCCAAATCAGCGAACTATACGTTTTGAAGGACGATTCTCTCGTTAATTTTTCTCCCCTATGATATTGTTGGAGTATATTAAGTGTACTATCATGAGCCATGGAGGGAAGACATGAAACTTTTCAGTTCGATTTGGGATTTTCCAGTCTGCCATTTGTTTCATAAATTGAAGTAGAAGACTAACTTTCTCAAAATATGTAAACGGATTAACGGTTTACTGCAATTTTCTATGCAAGTAAATAAGGATAGAGCTCGAAGAACTGATCAAGAATATCTACGTTTTAGCTTTGAAAAATTAGTTTCTGAATGAAAATCTTCAAAATACTAGAAGGATCTAAAATTTCGAAAAAGCCTTCAGTTTCAAAAAGATGCAAGCTATTTTCTTTTTCATTCGTCTAACCTTAGGAAAGTATTTTTTTGAGATTCAGCATTAAAACCTAGTATGAGAATGGTGCTTGATCGAGGTTGAAGTCAAAAGTCTATCTAGTATGGAGGTCTTGGACGTCTCCTGTAAAAGGTTCCTGAATAATTTTGCACGCCTATCTAGTTTTTTGTATGAAGAGATGAAGCCGACCTTTTTATTTTATTAGAACGTTCATTACATTAAATAAAGGGATCCTAGAAAAACTAGCATAAGTTAAAGAAATAACAAAATATTTTCATTTTATTTTCATGTTTTCAAGACCAGCGTAAAACATGACTCGGGCTGGCAGTTCTAGGATTAAATATCACACATACACATAGCTGATAACGAATACAGTGTTAGCATCTCTTTTTCAGTAGTAGAAAGTGTTATCAGTGAAGTATCAAAATGGCAGGAACTAGAACAAGTACAAAAAACGCACCAGATTGCTATTCTTAATATTATCCACAAGTTTATGGTTCAAATGAGTCATATTTATTAATGAGAACAAATTAAGTGCTCAGTATTTTTTCGTAAACGTTCAGTATAATTTGCTCAGTATTAAATATAAATTATCAGTAAACAAATCAAACTGTCAGTGTAAAATTTAATGTTGGTTAACTGTTATGTTTGCTCAGTTAACTAATTATTTGCTCAGGAGATTGATAATTTGTTTAATGTTAAAATTAAAGTATCAGTAATTAATTCAGCCTGTGTATTCTTGTAATTTGTGTAATTTTTTATTTGTCCCAGTTTAGTTTCTGTGAGATACAGAAACTCTATTTTTTTTTGGCTCCTCTGTAGGATCTGTATTTGAAAACGAGAAAAGAAAAGTCTTACTTTGTCATTTTATTTTCATTTGTGAATTATTAGAAGAAGACTGCAGTTCACTGATTCCGTGTAGCATATTCATGTTGCTCGGCAAAATGTTTGATATTGTAAAAATTCCACTTCTTTCATCATATGAACTTCTTTTCCAATTTCTTAAGATTTAAAGTGTACTACCGCAAAAATGGATTTTCGACAATTATCAGAATTACAAGGACTTAAGACAATAGTCGCAAAAGTACCGGAAATTCGACAATTAGGCGTGGCAGTATTACTATTGCTCATGTATTACATTACCGCGGAAAGTAATACTGAAAGGTATTCCTGTTACTAGTAACAGTAATACTGAACAGTATTTCGATTACCAGTAACAGTAATATTCATAAAATTAGTATTACTTTTCAGTAAAGTAATACAAGAAAAAAAAAAATTTAATAGGGGGCGTGACAATCAACACGAAAGCATCATATTACTAGATGTCACCAGAGATAATGAACACTAGCGAAATCTGGTGATATGGTGGTTTCGTGTTGATTGTGGTCTCCCTACTGAATTTTTTTTCGTGTATTACTTTACTGAAAAGTAATACTAATTTTATGAATATTACTGTTACTAGTAACAGGAATACAGGGAAGATTACTGTTACCAGTAACAGTAACATATACGGTATTTGTATTACTGGTAACAGTAATAGTAAACACCCCTATCGGCAATGTCGAAAATCAGATGGACTTTCGACGAAAATATTGAGCAAAAGCAACAATGCCGAAATTCCGATGGCGAAATCCAGCTGTCGATATTCCGATTTAGCTAACTGAGTGATTTTTTATTTTTTTCGATGAAAAAATTTGGTGTAAATAGAAGAATGAGTGTCCACGCCAACTATGATGACATCATCAGTCAAAAGAATTTCATATAATATACAGCCTAAGATAAATGTTTAGTAGTAAATGTACAAACGGCTGTATATTATACGAAATTCTTTTGACTGATGATGTCATCATAGTTGACTAAACGTCTCAAAATAAAGTAAACTGCTTGGATCGTGGATAACCATTCTTCTATTTTACTTGCATCAGTAACTAGTCATGGTGTTATATAAACGATAAAAATTTTTAAAAAAGTGTAATATATTGTTACTAATTTGGTTTAAAAATGCCAATGGCGATGGAAATTGTTGATTGCCGGCTTATGTTTCTGAGGAGGAGATAAATACAAATGAAACTGTAACTAATGGAAGCAAGAAAAGAGCAAAAAAGGGACAACGAAATTGGGTGAAAGAAATGCTGTTTGACAATGCTAAAGAAGCTGAAGAGGCAGTAATTAAAGAAAATTAATGGAGTAAACTACTGCAAACCGTCACCTGCTGCTAAAGATGTTAAAATTGGTGGAAAAAGACGTCTTGGTAGACCATCAAAATCTAAAAACGTATTACTGATGCAATAAACTTCTTGTTAATTGTAATTATACTATTTTTACTAATATAAGTTAATAAAAAATTGAACAAAAATAAATTAATACTTAGTCTTTTTAAATTCATTACTAAGCTTTCAAATTATTTACTAAAACTAACTTTTTACTGAGCAAAAAGTACTTAGCGTATAATAAAAAACATACCGAGTATTTGTTATAAAATAGTAAGCAATTATACAAGCCTTTATTAATAAATGTGATATTCGAAACTACTGATGATCAATTTACAAGCAGAAGAAGAAATTAAAAGGAAACTGACATTGAAAGCATTCGTATTGTTAAAGAATAAACAAGATAATCATGAAATATGGGCTAATGATGCATCGATAGTCGAAGCCGCTGATAGTAAAGGTGACACAAGTTTGTTCGAAGGTTGGATTGCCCGTAATCCTTGATTGTTACCATTACCCATTTACAGCCGCGGACACTTTTATTATAGCTCAAGCTGAAATGACCACTGCGCTGAAATGCAGCATTTTGTCTTTTATTTCAATCGAACGTTACGTGATTTATTGTTTTACATTAGAAAAAATTTGTTCTGTGAACTGATGATCCATTCGTTTTATAAACTGATCACATGAATGTCCCTTGGAAGGGCCTTGGAAGGGTAAAGGGATTTACGTACACGTTCACTAAAAGATGGATAACAAAACGGAAAAATTACGATTTAATATTACTTCGTGCGCATATAGAAATTTTTATACTTTAAGAAACGTCTTCAGAAACAAATACGTTAACGACAATACGGCGACGAGCCCAAAATTAGTTTACAATAAAAGAGAATTTCGGATAAATACAAATATTATTGGATTAACCAACACTTGTTTTTATTAGATCGACTACCGAAATGGCCTTCTTTGTCTCTTATTTTACCCGAAAAAATCTTTGATCCGGCCCTACTTGATGAAAATACTTTTCAGTTCGAGCTCGGCCCGATCCGATCACTCTACTAAATGTTCTAGCCCGGTCCGTGCTAATCTCCGGTGTCGACATGGTATAACAAAAGATATAGGCTTTATCTTAAAATGAAATATTAAAAAGCAAGTACATTCTGTGCACTGGGTCACTTTTAGAAGAGTTCTCTGTGGCGAATTGAAACATATTTTAGAAGTCTTTTTGGAGAACATGACTTTAACCAGAACGGCCACCTATCTTTTCGTATAAATGAGAACGTTTTTTCGCTCTCAAATAAATGCGAGGATCGAAACTTGATGTTTTTGCTGTGTTCTGGACAGAAAGTATCTGAAGGGAACGTTCAGAGTTAAGTCACTTGTGTTGGTTGCCTTGAGGGATGCCTATGCATTTAAGATAAGAAAGTACTTCGACATAGCACAATGAAAGAGTAGTCACCGAGAGAAGTCAAATTCCTCGATTCACTTCACTCGTCTCGGAGTCAGTTGCAAGGTTCCCGGAGAAATATTAGTTACAAAATTTTATTTGGAATATATACAAACAGCAATTTTGGAAAACAAAAGTTAGACAACGTCAGCTAGTAAGAGATCGACAATCTGAGCGAATTTCTTTCGTCTCGCTTCATCCAGTGCACAATTACCCCAACGATCTCGGTGCGTTTTGCCATCATAGCCATAATGCAACAACACTTTGACCACATCCAAATGACCATTGGCCGCAGCCAGATGCATGGGTGATCGTCCATCATAATCAGCATACAATTCCGACGGTGAAAACACACCACCCGCGAAGAGACCAGCGATAAGTTCTGCATCATTTTTCAAAACCAAGGTGCCAAAATGAAGAACTTTCTTCCATTTGCGCATTGACCTCACAACAGGTGTTATCGTTGAAGGCTCTCTTCGGCTGTCAATTTCCGACGAGATCAATGCCGGATCTTTCTTCATGCATTCATTAAGGTAATTAGCCACTTCATAATGTCCATAACGATATGCTTCATCGACGGGCGAAAAACCCCAACGATCTTCCTGTCTCATCCAACTTAAATCTTGGCTTTTTGAATATGAATGTTCACTCAAGAACTGAATACTCAGCAATTGACCTTCGGCAGCAGCGATGTGGCCGGCCGAACGAAAATCATAATCAACACTGTCTGCACGAAACTCCGGAAATTGTTCAAGAATGTTGGACATTTGCGTTACGTCCCCTTCGGCTGCAGCCATACAGAATAAGGCCGGCAGCAGACTTTCTTCGATACTCGTTGAGGCATTATTCGTTAGCTCGTCGTCTTCTTTTTCTCCTGTTTCTTCTTGATCATTACTATCATTGTCGTACAGTATATTTTCCATTAGTTCATTTATTTTTCTCGGTTTTTGTTTCGATGGATGGTCTCGCCAGTGCTGAAGATAATGGGAAATACGCTTATCGGGTAGACGTAGAGCATCCTGAACTGGGGTTTGACTATAATAGTCCGCAACTGACAAGGACGCATTACCTTCCTCAACTAAATATTTCACCAAGGAAAAATGATTGCCACAAACGGCTAAATGTAAGGCAGTTCGTCCATCATAGTCGGCAAAGTTTGGATTGACTCCACACGCAATTAAATATTGCACTGCTTCCAAATTGCCTTCAAACGAAAAGGCACACAAATAGTAAGCCAATTCTTTCGCCTTGTCGACAGGCATTCGTGCGCCGCACGCATAAAACAATGGAATCAAATGGAAATTTCCGTGGCAGAAGGCATCGTACAACGGGGTTCCACCAAATTCGTCAACCAGATTGACATTAGCTCTAAAGTTTGTGATCAGCATGAGACATAATTCTGTCTTCCCACCACAGGCGGCCAAATGCAAGGGACTGCGCAGATCATAGTCTGTGGAATTAACGTCTGCTCCTTCGTGTAGTAATGCCTTCAAATTTCGCGTATCATTTCGATGAGCATACGAGCACAAGAGAATCGGTACAAATTCAGCCTCGATCGTTGCAAGTTCTTCGATCGAAATGTCTTCATCGTGTCTGAATTTGTGAAGAATCGTCGATAAATTATTCAGAAATTCAAAATGCATTTTAATCAGGCTTTTCAATCGAAAACGTCGCAAATGATCTTCTGGAATGCTAACGGCTGTTAATTTGACAGCTATCATATTTTTGCTTGACCCAGCCATCAGACAAAGCAGCCAACAGGTTAGAGTGGACGGTAGCATCAGCGGAGGCATCCCAATAGGAGAGAAGAAAGCAGAAACGGCAGCTTGAACGAGGACAGTCATCACGGATCCGAAGAGCGTGAAAAGCCATATTTGATAGCCGCTGAGAACGAAAAACATTCCTCCAAGTGCTTGACAAGTCAACACCGAATTGTAGCCCCACAAGCCCATACGAATGGCTTCTGCTGGAAGTCCAAATAAATACGCTGCTGATAATTGACCAGTCACTGCACCGAACAGAGCAAAGAATGATAGTATTGGCGAGCAAATGAATACACCTACAAGAATAATGACGCCCGACAAGGGACTATTCAGAAAATAGACTTCGCTCACACTCGCAGGAAATCCAGCAAAAATATCAATAACCGAATACGACACGGTAGACACATTTGATAGGCTGGGCTTTTCAACGAACGCCGTCAATAATCCAGGTGCCACAAGTGTTCCATCCAGAAAAAAGTATCGAAATTTCAATGCACCTAAAAGCCATAAGAATGAACATACTTGAGAGCTAAATGTAAACGGTGAGAGACCCAGTCGAACGACAAGCAGTTTTCCGATGGCAACAAGAACGACCGTTGAACAGGCACTCATCAACACGGCTGGTCCAATAATTTGCGGAGAATCGGATCCAAACGAAAAGTGAGCTATAGCCATGGCCGTCAAACATCCATCGTATCCGTAGAGACCAGCTCGAATCGAATCGTAATCGAGTCCTATTATGTGTGCCGTTAATGTCGATACCACTGTTCCCAACAGACTATACAAGGCAAGTTGCCATTGGCCGACAAATAGACCAACTGTGATCACCTGTATTTAACGAACGAAAGATATGAAGTTGAAACATAGTGGACAGACCAAGAGAAAAAAATGATCTTGTGATTTCCATGATTTTAACGATTTTGAAATCCCCACAAATCAGTCTTGAGAGAAACTCTTTGTTCGTATTGCAAGCAAGCTTCTGTGTGCGAAATTTTCTTTAAGTCCATTTTTACAGTCAAATCGCATTTTTTGCTTTAAAGATGGCACTATATTTTGAAAAAGTAATATGAACTCTGGAAATAGTTATGGAACTGCAAAGATCTTCTACATAAGGATGTCACATTTACAGTAGACAGGAAATAGAAATTTTTTAGTACTTAAGACTAAATCAAGTGGTTAATATTGACTGCTAACAAAGTATTAACTTTGTCTATATATCGAAAATAGAGATGTGCAGGGCTCACGGTAGGGTATGGCTTTGTTTGACAAATTTCGATGAATTATTTATTATAAATAATAATTACATCTATTCATCTATGATTTATATAAAAAAGTAAAATAAGTGATCGTCATGAAAAAACTTCAAAATTTTTCAAGTGTAGAGCCAGGATTCTAAGATCACCTGAAACCACAGGGTAGGTTAGAGCCATGGAGCTGTTATAATAGGAAAGAGTATAACAGTTTTTCACAGGTATGACTAGAGCTCCAGAAACCGCTACCCTGCGCATCTCCAACCAAAAGAAAAACTTAAAACTTTGTAGAGGCAAATGATCTTTATTATTTGCATTTGAGAAATGCCAACTAAACATGTCGTTTTCTGGATTTTTCTAGACCCTTACATATGTACCATCAGTCTATTATCTTTCAGAAATTCGATTCGAGAACTCCCTCTATCTTCTAGTCTCGATTAGGAACCTCAAGTTTTCCACACACGCCAGCTCTAAAGATAATTCTGCTCTGAACTTACAAAACCCGACAGAGGATTATTGGCGAACATCACTTGTCCCATGCCGCGAGAGCACGAATCAATAAATATAAACATCGCTTGCAACCACGGATGACCGGAAAGAAATCTTTTGTACTTAAATATTTGATTGACATCGGACATGGTACCGAATAGAGAATGACATGTGAGTTTATTATGGCGCTGATAATGGTGCTTTTTTCGATCGATCAATGTCGATCGACAACGATTTGTTCGTTCTTGCGTTAATGATAATGTTTGATGACCGTTCTCTTCTTGTAAGCGTTGATTGCGTGATGTTTTAGATGAGTATCGATATGATGATGGTTTATCGATATCAGAAAGAACTGCTTCGTCAGCCGCAGCATCGGCAAACAAAGACCATGGCCGTATTTCATGAACAACGAGCGGTTCGGGCACCTTTTTTCTTGTTGGTTGTTGGCTGCTGGTCTCTGCAACAAGGTCATTTGTGTTGCCTATTTGAAGTATGACAGACGTGTGTGGTGAAGACTTAGTACCACTAAAGAGCGAAGTTTTGCTAGGGACGATGTTATTTGGCGGTAATTCAGTCATAATAGATGTAGTGAAGTCTTGAAATGATATTGACTGATGCACTTTTTAGCAGTGAAGCATGGTTACCTGCATACGACGATAATCTGCAAGGAGAATAGATAATTGCTTGAATGATTGAAGAGGTTTGTTTGTGTGTGTGTGACAGATGGATGCGCAATTTTTTGTGATAGATAAGAAAAAATGAATGAATGCAAGAAAGTGTCATCGTCCTTTGTCTCCCGCTAATCGAATTATAGACTCGTTGTGTCATGAGTGGGTTTGCAAGCCGATGCTTTGCTGCGCACATGATGGCTTTTCCACCTTGATTTTAAAGGGACAGTCGAAGATTTCACAGTGCTGACGCTGGCGTTGGATAGGCGTTAGTGCGCTGACTGTGTTAATAAAAATTCGAAAAGGTAATTTTACAGTCGGAGGTTGTCAGTATTTCGTCATATTACTTACCACATTCGACAAGAGCAAAGTCATTAACGAAAAGGCCGGTAATGATATCATATGTTCGCGATTGTGCTGATCGACTGTGCGTGGCTGATATTTTCGACCAACGAGCAGTGGTGGCGACTGAAAAGGCGCCACCGCTGTTCGTTCCATTCGGTGTGCTCCAAGGCTCAATCTTGGAACCACTACTTTTCTTATCTTTATTAATGACCTCCCGTCTACAAGTTTACTGCCTGCAATAGCGGCTCTATTTGCTGATGATTGTTCACTTTTATGCCCTCTTTCAGCTATTTTCCCGTCTTCTGTATGTCAAGAAAATGTGGATCGTATAAGTGCGTGGTATAATTCTCATTTAATGCAATTAAATTATAATAAGTGTTCTTGGTCACTCTTTACTCATAAGCCTCAAACACACAAATTTTACACTATCAGTGAACGGTTCGTTTATTAACCGAGAGTACTCTACTGTGCTGCTGGATCTCCGTTTATCTTCTAATTTACATTGGGGAGATTACATTGAGGATCTTATTCTGGTTTGTCGTAGAAGATTAGGTGCCAGGTACCTTAGTTTTAAGGATGCACCGATCCTGGTGAGGTTAACTGTTTTCAAGACATGCATTCTAAGTAAATTAGACTATTGTTCGGTTGTTTACGACACTAAATTTCCTTATCATAATTCTCACATTGACTCTGTTGTTAAATTGACTGCGCGAATTATATTTAAAAAGTTTGATGGCCCTGTTTCTAAATTAATAGAGAAATTAAATTTACCAGATCTATATAAAAGACGTAATTACTTCAGATTGCTTCATTTTTATAAGATTCTGCACAATCATTCCATTCTTTCGGATCTCAATCTTATTCAGTATAATACCATTAGACATTCTGGTAGGCTAAACCATACTAGAGCAGTTAGGGTGGCTGATATTTTCAAGACCTTTACCACCCTGTATTCCTTTTTTCACAGAACGGCAACTGCGTGGAATGGCTTACCTGAGCACGTTGTTACAGCTAACAGCATAAGTTTCTTCAACCACAGCAGACTAAAGAACTTCTTAGAGCTTTAATTTTTTATCTTTCTCTCGTTCTTTTTGTTTATTTCCCTTCCGCATTTCGATTGATGCTCTTCGCATACGAGTCGACGCAGTCGCTCGTGGGCTCCAACGATAATCACCCTTACATGCGAGTTTGTTCGCACGCTTAACCATCGAGCAGACGCCACTCAAGCATATTGAGACTATACGAATAGATCAGGCAGGAAGCAAAGAGAACAATTCCAACATCTTCCCGCCAACGCTTGCGAACTGTGCATTGAGAGCAGAATATGTTCGATGGTGAATCTGAAAAGATGAACAGCAACACTATCGATTGTCATCGGTTGTTCAACAGTTTCTTGATTTCCAGTGACTTCAATTTGTTCTGAATGTATATTGTAACCGCTAGTATGGAGTAATAAGACTCCTCAGATTGCAAAGAATCAGTTTCCAAAGAAAATTACAACGATTAAAGTTGTGGTTTGTTACAGTAAAATGATCTATGTTCACTTCCCGTTCTTTCTCGTATATTTTCTAAACGAAAAACTCGAAAATACAAACTCTATCAATCATACATAGCTAGCGACCAATGATCTGTGGCGAAAGTAAATAGTAATTTTTTCGGACGACTCCACTTTCTTTCACTTTCTACTATATTGATGCTTTTTGATTTTTTTACGTTTTTTATGAAACATAGTAGATTCAAAATTATAGAAAAGAATTTAAGTAAAATCATTTTATAAACAGCGAGCTTTCGACACTATCACAGTATCATCATCAGGCGAATGACTCTTTGAGAGAGGAGAGAGACAACTATATATACATACAGAGATTTTTCTAAGCGGAGTTTTCTAGTTGTGATTTCTCTATATTTCTACTTTTTCTTTTTCTTTCTCGTCTAGTTGAATACGACCGTCTTTAGTGATATATCATTGTATGTCAGGTTATTATGTTGATATGTTATCAGTGTCTCTTTTAGTAATCTTTTGATTTCATTTCTTTCATAGGCCAAAACACATGGTTTGTCAAGTTCTAATGCATGATTGTTTTCAGTGGCATGAACGAACAGTTTTGAATAGGGATCTACTTTGTTTAATGTTTTTTTATGCTCATTCATTCTAGTACCAATTCCGTTTCCAGTTTGGCCAACGTAAATATTAGCACAATCATTACACTCTATACAATAGACAACTCCTACTTTCCTTTCATCTTTGCCTCTATATTTATGTGAGAAAACATTGCCTATTGTTTGATATTTTCTAAACCCGAATCTAATGTTTGTAATTCCATATTTAATCAAAGTTCTTTTTATGCTTGATACAAATTTTCTTGACTCGTTACCCAGGTAATAGAAACAAACATTGCCTTCTATTTTGCTTTGAGATTTATTAGCGTTTTTCGGCGAGTTAAAAAGCATATTATCAGTATATTTTTCGAATGTCGTTTTAATAACTCTTTCTAACAATCGTGCTGGATATCCATTTTCCTGTAGCATCGTCTTAATCCAATTGATTTTAGCATTTAGAATATCATCCACGTAACGAATCCAAATTTTTATCAACTGATCATTCTGTGGTATTAATATGTGTTCATTTTCTAATTTTTCCACAAATAAATTCGCCAAAATTGGAGCTAGCGGGCTTCCCATAGAAACTCCATCATTCTGGCGATAGAATTTGTGATAGAACCGAAACTGAACATTACGTGAGGCAAGGTTGAATAGAATAAAAAGCTCCGTTTTTGTTATTCTTATAAACTTTTTCTTCTTGTTCTGTTGCCATATTTTCTCAACTACTATTTTTATTGCTTCTCCAACAGGTATACTTGGATAAAGCGATTCGACATCGAAACTAGCAATAATGTCATTCGAACTTAATTTTTCTTGTTTTAAACGGTTAACTAAGTCGAATGAATCTACAATGATATATCACTAAAGACGGTCGTATTCAACTAGACAAGAAAGAAAAAGAAAAAGTAGAAAAATAGAGAAATCACAACTAGAAAACTCCGTTTAGAAAAATCTCTGTATGTAACAGTGTGTAGTTATATGTGTAGTTATATATAGGTGTCTCTCTTCTCTCTCAAAGAGTCATTCGCCTGATGATGATACTGTCTGTGATAGTGTCGAAAGCTCGCTGTTTATAAAATGATTTTACTTAAATTCTTTTCTATAATTTTGAATATACTGACTTTCTACTATTTTCTGACATACAATAATCTCTATTTCAAAGCTCCATTTCTTCGCAATTTGTTGTTCGCTAGAATCTGGTTGCTTAATGTTGTTGCTTAAGATTCTAGCTGCATTAATGTTGTTCGCGAACATCTCTTGGTGGAGGAAGTGTCGGTAAAGCTAGGGATACTAGCTTTATTGGCGTCTTCGCATTACAAGTTGTATCTCTCACACACAGAGCACACGCTTATATAGGAGAGATAGAACAAAACAGCGGTCAAGCGAAGCGGTTACACTAGACGAGAACGGTCGCAAGGTTAATAAAGATGAAGATGATAATTTCTGTTACACCATTAGAGTCAATATCAAGGAAAAATAATAAAAGTTGATCGTGCATGCGGATTGTCACTCATTGATCAACCGCACCCACCTTTGAACTCGTTCGACACCAATATGACATATAATAATTAAATTTGATTATACTACCTCGTGCTGGTATTTGAACGAATAAAATATATTGCTTTTCCTTGCTTTGAACTACTGTTTTCAAAGTAGGGCTCCAGTTTTATTGTTATGAAGAATAATATGATAAGAGAGAAGTACGCGTCGAAATGCAGTCATGCTTTTCTCTTTCCAAAATGAGAAACTTCTGCCATAGCATCCACTCGTGATCTACCCTTGTAGAAGGACACAAAAAGCGAATTGTGTTCAGTGCTGGATCGAATGTAATGTTGAGCCATTGGTTGTGTCCAATGTGTCGTGAACGAGTTATTTGATTATTGTTTTACATTAGAAAAAATTTGTCCTATGAACTGATGATCCATTCGTTTTATAAATTGATCACATGAATGTCCCTTGGAAGGGCCTTGGAAGAGTAAAGGGATTTACGTACACGTTCACTAAAAGATGGATAACAAAACGGAAAAATTACGATTTAATATTACTTCGTGCGCATATAGAAATTTGTATAGTTTAAGAAACGTCTTCAGAAACAAATACGTTAACATATGAAGTCGAAATAGATTTGGCTGGAGATCTTTTGCAGACGAGTTGAAGAAAAATCTTTTTTGCAAGTTACTTATTAGCATAAGGACATGACTAATTCGAAAATATCTCTTCTCAGGTCTTTTCCGTTACCGAGATAAGCGGCATTATTTCCCACAAACTGGCTCTTATTTATTGCTTCAAAGGCAAGATTTTTTGGTGAAATTTATTATTTAGGCAGCTGTAGCTTTGTACTTAGATTCTCTGGCAGTTGTAATTTTATAAAAACGTCTTCCGTGGGCGGCGAGAGCGCGCAAATTTTCCAAAGAAAAGTAAGCTCGCACCTAGCAACATGTCTCTATACTGTACTCGAGCTACTTATGGTTATTTTATTCATAAAGGTATGATTATAAGTAGCCGGCAGGGAAGGTAGTTATTTTACGGATAATGTCGCCTATCTCGGTACCTGAGAAGAGATATTTTCGAATTAGTCATGTCCTTATGCTAATAAGTAACTTGCAAAAAAGATTTTTCTTCAACTCGTCTGCAAAAAATCTCCAACCAAATCTATTTCGACTTCATATGACGACAATACGGCGACGAGCCCAAAATTAGTTTACAATAAAAGAGAATTTCGGATAAATACAAAATTGTTGGACTGACCAACGCGTTTTTTTATTAGGTCAACTACTGTGTAGAATACAGGTTTTTAATGAACTAAAACTGAAATTAAGAAGGCTGGTAGTGTAAACGTGCAGTAGAATGTTTACGTGTTGATTATGTTATGTCACTTCATATTATTGGTCTGATCCGGATTCAATTAGCTTTTATAACTGAGAACGAACGCATTTTGCAGTAATCCGAACTGTTTAAAATCCTTTATTTTTAACAGCATAAGCGTATCACTTGCATCCCTCCTACCTATTTTTTACTATTAGTTATAATTTGTAAAAATTGACTTTTCA